ATCATATAATTCAGACTATATTAACTGTATTACTCTTTTATCATATATTTATTAAGTCACTAATATCAGTATACTATGTAAGAAAGTATTTTCTACAGCTTAATTCAGAACTGTAGCAGTTCACTTTAATTACTTTAAAAGTTATATTATTCTCACTGTATTAAATCAGAATATATTTTATATTAATGAATAGATTATAGTAATTATATCAGAGAATATTCATATATTCTATACTATAAATATAGCTTATATAGATAATCTGACTCTGAGCTGTAAGAAGTTCTTCTATAAATATCTGACTATTATTAACTATTCAGCTCTGTTATTATTTATATTAAAATTAAAAGTGAGTACTTTTATTATATTTCTGTATAATCTTCAGCTATCTGAAGAGCTCTGCAATAATATAAGAATAATTATTTAGTAAATAATAACTCATTTACTTAAGATGAAGATTATATCTAATATATATAAGAGTTCAGTTCATATACTGCTGCAGATTAATCTATATACTTAATTTATTAAGATTTTATTTAATATAACTCACTATTAGTTTTCAGTTCATTTATACTTTATAATAAAAATTAATAAGTCTCAGAGACAGTCTCTTTATACTGTTAATATTAATCTCAAAAACTCTGTACTTTTATATAATCAGCTATATATTATACTTTCTTAAACTATAGATATTAGTCAGTTGACTATTCTAGTGAATAAGAATAATAGAAGATATATATTAAATAAGATATATTTAAAGATTCTACAGTTTCTTAATTAATTCTTCTACTACTGCTGTTTTTTCTTTATTATTTTTAGAATATTATTTTCAGATATTAAAATAGAGATCTTTGAATATATAAAAAACTATCATTTTAAATTAATACTAACTATTAAAAAAAAGAAAAAAGTTATAATATTTTATCAGACTTATACAGCCTGCTTACATTACTCTCTATTTTTCAAATTTTTTAATCAGAACTGTAATATCTGTGAAAATACTCTATTAATTAAACTGAGTTATTTATAACAGACTTACAGTCTCACTTTACTCTTTATATAAATACTTCATCTCTTTCTCTATCTTACAGAGCTGATGTATTTTTACTTATAGCTATAATAACTTTAACTTTATAATCTTACTATTATTTATCTTATTATTCTACTCTTTATTCTTCAGAGTTATAAATATTATATTATCTCTTTTTAACTGAATTGAACAGCTTAGCTGTCTAATCTAACTTTATACTGATAGCTTACTTCTTCTTCTTTCTCTTCTTCTTCTTATTCTCTTCTACAGTAGTTATATTAATAAGAGCAGTAGTCTACTAATTCTCTATTATTTATATATCAGTATATATATTTTATACATATATTTTACTAATGAATTTATATACTGTAGAAATAATTTATTACTTATTAAATTACAAACTATACTATTTATTCAGTGAATTATAATAATAATTTATATAGACTCTCTTTAATATATCAGACATTATAATATACTTAATAAATAGATTATAGTTCTTCTTATATAAGCTGTATAATGAAGTGACTTTAATATCACAGTTATAAGTAAGTACTAATTTTATATTTATTACTCTTTTTAGCTAAGACTTAAAATTCTTCTTATATAGTATTATATCTCTCTTAAGCTTTATCTCTTACAGCTGTATAATAATCTTACTATTATTTTTAATAATCTGTTCTATCAGTAGTTATAGTCTATATTCAGATATTTACACATTGAGAGACTGCCGATATGACTATTAAGAGATAAGTATAGATAAGTTAATAGACTACTGAGACTGCTAAGAGTAGAGTAAGAGTAGATTAATAAACAGTGCAGACTACTAAGTCTCTAGAGCTTACTGAACTTACTTTATACTATTATTAGTTATAATTTCATTATTTCTGAGCTGTTTTTTTTAATTTTTCAATAGTTCTCTACTTATATTCAGTCATTTCATCTGCTTTAATATTTTAAGAATTGATAGATTTAAATTATGATATTTTAAATGCTTACTATTTAATTATAATTACTATATTCTTTATATAAGCTGTCTGATATTTAATTATATCTTACTTATAGACTGATTATATAATCATGTCTGAGACTAGAATAAGAATATTTAATAGTTTTATTATTAATTTAACTGATTTCATTACATAGTTTTAACATTAAATAGTAGTTTTATACTATTTTAGTGAGACTTACTATCTACTCTTATTACATTTTTCAAATAAGATTATAATTTTCACTTCTCAATTTAAATTATTTATATTACTTTAAATAACTTTAAATCTTATTTAAGTATTATTAAAAAGTGTTACTTTTTAAAAAATTAAAAATAGTCTAAAAAAAACCTTAAAATGTCTAAAAATAGTAACTTTATATCAAGAATGAGACTAAATAAGATCAAATGAGACCACTTTCTTATTTTTTCTAAGTCATGATCTCATTTTGAAATCTGATATATAGTCACTTTGCATGTTTTTTTAATGATTAGTCCCAGCGGGATTCACGCCAAGAAATGTATGAGACCAGACCAAATGGGACCAAACATGAAATTCATGGTCCCGGCGCCAGTCTACTTACTTAGAGCTTCTATATTTACTCTATAACACTACTACAGTGTTATTGATTTTTTTCATCTATGTGATTATTCTCTATTAACATATTAACAGCTGTGGATTACATGGAATTCACCTATACAAGTCATGTGCAGTTGTTCATATCTCATTACATTCGCCCGAGGGATTAAACAGCGTGTTTTTCAAGCTGAATAAGCAAGCGCAAGCGAGCGATTGAGGCTTGTTGAATGATTCTAGAGAAATGCGGATATTTTGATTTTTTTGTGGTGTTTTGCTACTAATTTTCATTGGGAAAATTCTGTTTTCGCAAGCAATACGTCCGCCACAATAACGCACCGCATCACAATACCACGCATCGCCCGCATGGTAAATAATATATAAAACCATGTCTGTGGTTAACTGGATATATAATAGAGAGAACGTGCGCCTCGATGCCGCGCATTTGGGACGGGCACACCATGCCATGCGCTGCCATGCAAATGTCATAATGTCTTGATAGTTAGGGAGGGGGTTTGAAAAAATTGATGGATATAGATAGATGATTTTAACAACTCCCATCCCCAAATCCCCCACCCCTCAAAATTCCCGTAATATAAGGGGAGGCAAACGGAACGAGAAATACCCATCCTGGATCGACATCGACCGCTAGACTCGACTTTTCTCAGACGGGGTTTTCATAAATCATATCAGCAGCAATGCTGATGCTGGTGTGGTCACTTGCTTGGTTGTCAAATTAAAATTGAGCGAGCGGGTAACTAAGGGAACGAGGAAAAAAAAAAAAAAAAAAAAAAAAAAAAAAAAAAAAAAAAAAAAAAAAAAACCGGTTGTTGCAACAGACAAGCATTTAATTTATGCGTCAAGCATTCCGTGCATTTTGCTCTCGTAACCCTGTCTTGGTATGAGGTGACATTTGTTCAAGGGGACGGGCGGGGATGGGGGTAAATACATACCTTTTCTTTCCATCCAGGTAAATAGTAACGATGATATAGCAATGCAATGGATGCCAACCACTCACTGATTACCGATTACCTAGGTATGTTGTAGGTATGGACAGCACAGAGTACAGATAGGTTGACGGCAGATTCTCCAAAATCATACCTTGCGACATGGTTCACAGAATAATAATAATCAACAATCAAACCACGCATGCCGTTGTTCTCCTTGGGGAAGACGAACTGGGGCCAAAACAAGCATCTGCTTCTCTTTTTGACTTCAGCTCTTCTCAACACTCAATAACTACAATAATGGATCGTCTTTTCCGCATCTGTGAACCCTGGCAGTTAGGCCTTAGTGCCCTTCCTTCGCCTCACCTCAAGGCTCAAGGTTCAGGGCTCGACTTCTCAACCTTGTCTCTTCCCCCCTTGCACTCCTCTCCCTCCCGCTGATGCTGCTGATGGCTTCCACGAGGCACCCCAGCAACTTCCATCTGCGTCGTAGTCTGTCTCTGTCCCGTTATGATTTACTTATGATTTATTATATTTATTTATTGGTTTTCCCACACACTGCTTCAAACAATAAGACATATAATAAGGGGCTGTTAAGTCAGATCGCGGACAAGGATAATAATAGTAGTAGTTTGTAACACCGCGCGCCGCCCCCCCTCCCCCCCTCCCTTCCTTCTGATGTACTGTAACTACACTACCGTACATCGTACGTTCATGGCCATGCCCATGTCCACAAGTGTGCATGTACGGCGTATGCATGTATGTGGCCGGGCGGCCGTGTGTGGCCCCGGGGCCAATAATAAGAATGACTTTTCATTTTTTATTTTTATTTCCCCTCCTCTTCCCCGCTGCGGCCTTTTTCTTCTTCGCTCTCGTCTGTCTTCCTTCTTTCGGACGCTGCTGGCTGGGAGAAGAGAGAGGAGAGAAAAAGGTGAGATGAGATGAAGTGTACTAATAATCATCATCAGAAGTTAATAATAATATCTCTCACTCCCTCGAACCTCATCAAGCGCGGTTGTCGACGGGGGCTGATAGGTAGAATATGTATGCGATGAATAAAAATGATAGTTATATTAGAAGAATATGGGTGAAGGTTTTAATAGAGTTTTATCATTATTGGATATTATGGCGAAATAAATAAAGAAATAAAATGAAATGTTGATGATGAAGATAAGTCATCGATAAAGCGGGCTGTTTTGCTTTTTGATTGGTTGGTAACTTAATAAACCATTTCGACCATTTGATGTTTTCTCACCAGTAGTAGCAAAGGGAGGGGTATTTTTGCCTGTCGGTTTTCGAAAAGGCAGTTAAGACAGAAGATGAGAGAGAGAGGGAGAGAGGGAGAGAGAGAGAGAGAGAGAGAGAGCAAGGAACCCTTGAACGTGCTTCATTTTCTCGACGACCTCGCATACTGCGTAGTTAGTCATGCAAGGAGCATGGAGGGATGAGGGGTATGGATACCACTATGTCGTAGTCGTAGGGGATGCCTAGGAGAGTTAGTAAGATACAGTAGTACATCGTCGAATGGACACTCAGCGTCCTGCGTGCATACATACTAGACAAGACATCGTCAGAGTTTCTGCTACGGATGTACGGGGCAGGACCATGCAGTCTGAATGTCTTTATGTCTCAATTTCTGTACTCCTTTCCTTCACACTGAGGCGATTTTTCCCCCTGAAACTGTTTGCCTTGCAGCGGAAGTCAGTGCTGAAGGCGGGTTCACAAGAAGAAATGAAAAAGAGGGAATCTCCAGAGGGGTGATCATCCATTGATAAAAGACGACGTAAGAGAAAAAAAAAAAAAAAAAAAAAAAAAAAAAAAAAAAAAAAGAAAATTGAAAGCTTTTCCAGTTCACAGAGTCATCCCCGGAAGCCCTCCTATATCAGACTGGTTCAGGCCGCACCCGTCCGTCCCGCACCTGGGTTCAAAGGCTGGCTGGCTGTGAGAACAATATTAATGGCACCACCGCCGGCTCGAGTCCGTCGCTGCAGAGACTCCGCCGGAGTCCGAGCCGTTAGCACCCCATCCATCACTTTGTATGTACCCGGACAAAAGCACCACTCATGGTTGTTGAACGGATGGAGTAGTTAACTTACAGTAACTTCTGTGATGCAAGCTGGAATTTAGTTTGTCTTGTTTTTTTTTCCTTCTCTTTCTTCCCTCTGTGCTTCTAGTCTCATACTGTAATTGGAGGCAGAGGGCAAATCGCATGCATTATGGAGAGTAAATTTTCTTCTTTTCTTTTTTTTCTTTTTTTCTTTTCTGACAATGCAGCAGTAGCATTGTACAGTATTTTGTCTAGAGTTAAAATTTGTTAATGATGATGATGAGCATTGGCGTGCACGGAAGCTGGTGACGGAGAATTTTTTTTCATATCCCTGCCCATGCGAGATTCCGTGTGGTTTGAGGAGTGTATTTTTGTCATTTTCCCACCGCTGCTGCTGCTGCTACTACTGTTGCTGATGATCATGATGATTTGCCTGCTCCATACAGTTTTACGATCTGGGGACGGATGGATGCGGGTAGTTTCGAGAGCCAAATTCACCGCCTTAATTTTTGATGCCCGTTGTTGAAGTGGTGGATTGATTGTCCCGTCCTGTGGTAAGAGTAGCGATCCGGCCACGCGAATCTTGGGCCCTGTTTGAGCCATGGTATATCGATGGATGCATTTTTGAGCAGTCCAAACAGACAAACAGACAAACCCTTTCCCATTTGTAAGAGCACGATACCATAGTCATGGAGGAGGTCTATTTCTATTTATTATTATGGAACTTACGCTGCGTATGTGTTGGCTGTGGGGAGGAAGGAGTTGCGTATATGAGGGGAGGGAGGTTCTGCCCCATTTTCTCTCCCTCTCCATCCGTTTCCATCAAGCTGGTAAGGTAGGTAGAGCAATACGCTGTAATAGAAGCTAATAATGGGGCAAAAAAAAAAAAAAGAGTTGACTCTTTCTTTCCCCCCACGATTAGGGCGCACTCTGTCCATAATGGGTCTTGGGAACAAAACGTGACGAGAAGAAAAAAGTCCACAGAAATCATCATCGTTAGGAATAGCGCCAATCAGAATGACAGAAGGGCAAAGTACAGTATGGCAAATAAATTACGGGGAATATTCAGACAGTACAGACTGTACGGGCACCAACAGCCCGAAGCGGCAAGGCGTCGTCTAATCTACCGACCCCTGCCCCCGTCCTTACCTGCAGCGGGTTCAACAGTCCTGCTTCCGCGGCTGGCGCTGGGGTGTGTTCGGGATTTGGTTTGCAGCTTCCCCCCCGGCTTAGGTTGTTTAGGCGGTTTGGCTTGGAGCTAAATGAAGGCCTCCATATCCCGGTGCCGTAGCGTGTATTTAGCTGTCATCATTAATACCCTCCGTTACCCGCGTATAGATGTTACTGTACATTACGTCCATCATACTATGTATGCCCCTGGTAGAAACCCTGGCGGGCCTAGCCCACTCTCGCTTCCCGCCGTGTGCAGCGAAGTGTCCGGTACAGTACCTCAAGGTATACCGAACCCCTAGGCTATTTACAGCGCTATGACAGCGCTATGACAGCGCTAGTCCCGGGCTTACCGCAGCGCACGACGACCACTGGGGGGGCAATCCAGGCCTAGCGCCGACTCCACAGTACAAGCTTGCGCTGGGCACTCCGACTAATTTATTAGTATTATTGGAGCCGCTGCTGCTGCTGCTGCTGCTGCCGCTGCGAGAGGGCAGGCGCTGGGCTTGGCTCCGTGCTTGTCGCCGCGAGGAGAAGTCTGGTAGTGACCGTCCGTCTGTCTTGTCTGTCTTGTTTCTCTTTGTGTGCCCCGGATCGTTCAATCGCTCCATCCATCTTCTTGCAGTTCCTCCCATCTCCTCCCATCTTCTTCTTCCTCCTCCCATCTTCTTTTCTCCTCCACATACATACAAACATATTCGCCGCACCTGCCGGTGGTTTCTTCTCTCGTCCTTTTTTAAATCACCACCATTATTATTACTTATTCATCTTACTTCTACGACTTCGAACTGGAAAGCCTTCAATGTGCTTCCTGGAATAAGAAGACGAAGCAGAAGAACAGTCCGGTTCTCAACCCTCCCGATCCCCCCCTCTTCTTCCCTACCTGACGATAGATATATATCCACGTACTTAATATAATTCGATGACTTTACGAACCACGACATTCTCCCTGAGACTCTGATCATCCCCGATCCTCGTCTCTCCAATTCGCCTCTAGAACCACTCGTTTCTTAAATCCCGCACATGATGGCTGACCGTTCAGTGGATGCGCTACAGTGCTTCACCTTCATTTCAGAGAACGTCCCCGTATGGGTCACTCGAATTACTGACCTGGCCGTACACACAAAGGCAAAACATGCTGAGTTTACTGCGGAATATGCCAGGCTCGCGGCCTCGGGTGAAGCTGCTACAAAACCTCGACGGAGGAAGAATAGCTCGGAACACTCCATTCAACCAGATGACATGCACCCCTCGATAAAAGGCGCTGGCGGCTCCAATAAAGGTTCCCAGAAGGACTCCAAGAAGGCAGATGAACACGAGGAGGCCGTCGAAGAAATCAATGAGGACTACATGGACCCTATCACCCTGCTGAGAATGTCGAAACACTACCCAAATGATTTGAACCAACGGAAGCGGAATATAGCAACTTCGAAATCTGCAGGGACGGATCGAATAGTCCGACCCCGCCAGCTCGTTGTCGTCCATTATGACTCAGAGACTCAATTGACCCTAGAGAAATTGGTGAGAGATATTGGAGGTGCTAGGAATAATATTCGAAAAGGCCGGATGAGCCAGATGATGAAGTCCGGGTTCGGTCTGAAGTTCTTGGATCACGCCAAGCGAAAGTCAACCACAAGAGGACCAGGAGAAGGCGCCCGCAATCCCCTCGATACACTCGATCCACCGTCGAAACTCGGTAAGCCAGTCATCAAGGAAACTGGGTTTGATCTCGTTGATAAACAGTTGGAATTGGCACAGTCCCTGTGCGAATCGGCCGCTCATCAATTCCTGCGGTGCGGAGATTGTGTTCTAGAACTGGAGAAGGCAAAGGAACGGTTCGCTACCGTTCTGGAACTGGCAATGGTGGAGGTTGAACGGTTAGAAAAGGAGGCAGAGGCGGAGAAGGGGCAGGCTGCGAAGGCGACTGCGGAAGCTCTCATGGTGGGAGAGGGGGAGGAGGAGGAAGTGGAGAGGCTCGCGCCAGCGCCTACGCTGAATGGAGACGAGAAGCGGGCACCGGATGGGTTGGTGGCGGCCATCGAGGTCGACGATGGCTCGTCGATATCTTCTATCTCCATCGATATTACCGCCTTCAGGTCAAGCCGGTTTCGGGCATGATTCAGATGTTTCCGGGATGCTCTTGTTCATACCCATTAAGCATATCAATTCTCCACCCGCACACACACGCACACACGCACACACACATATATATACAAAACATCTACCCACTCCTTCGAAAAAGTCAGCTTCTCCGCTGCATATATCTATATTTCATAAACACGGCTTACAAAACGTCCTCCTGATCTCCTTGACCAAATCTACATATACATGACAGGATACCTTCTCCCCATCTACCTCCCACACCCCCCAGCATTCGGGGCGGGAGGTATTCTACTCATCCCCATCAACGACGGAAACGATTTAGTGAAAGGAAAATCAAGAAATAAGTTTTCACCACATAACCGGTCCCTCCGCTATATACATTACATCATATCCATTTCCATATTATATCTTACTACATATAGTTCCACTCCTTGACATTTCCATCCACACCCCCATTTACATATCCCTACTCCACCAGACCCAACCCTCCCAAAGATTCGCAGAGGTACTTACTTTCGTTATTGAAACATGGCGCTACTCTACTCCGCACTCGTTGTCACGTCCTTTTTGTCCTTTTTGTCATGTTGTTTTTCTTGATTTTCGTCTTTTATTTTGTGTGTGTCCGTCTGTGTGCGTGTGTCTAATGAGGGTTTTTTTATTCTCTTTTCGACGGATAAGGTGGGAGAGAGGAAGGGGTGAGAAAGCTATACTCATCCTTCCTTTCCCTAATCCTTTCGCAGTCCGTCGCCCGATGATGATAGCGTTTTTCCTTTATATATATATATATTTGCTCGTTCTATCCCACTTGTGTTTTTTTTCGTTTTTAGTCCTGATACCTGACTTATGCTATCTTATTGATCTATCGATCTATCAATCTAGCATGGCGTTTTTTTATTTTTATTTTTTTTCTGAATATTTCCAAATGTCCAAATTCCGTTGCTTTTTGTTACCTTGCGAGATCGTTTGGCGTGGGCATATCTTTTAGTCATTTATTTATTTGTTTGGTCAATGATCGAATCTCTTTGCTGAAATTTGTTTTGGTTCTTCCCTCTACAGGGGAAAGATTGATGACCCGTTCCTATTCTTCTTGTTTCATGCCCATATCATCATATCATATTATATCCGTAATTCTTTTTTCTCTTTTCTTTTCTTTTTTTTTTTCCCCTCTTTTTTCTTTTCCCGTTTTGAAATTCTGAAATACTGCGATACTGACATCTGTTTGGTTTGAAACAAACAGAGGAGGGGGGGAAGAAAATGACAAAGAAGAAATACAGAGATATACATTACTCACTACCCTCACTCCTATACTCACTCCCTTGGGGCTTATATATATATATACATCTACATAACTTGCACAAACCGAAACCATATATTACCGATTATGACATTAACTACCATGGCAGATTTAATGTGATGGAATGAGTGGGTAAAGCAAAGTGAGAGAGATTTGCCCTCTTTACCTATTTGAGAGAGTGCTGCTATGTTTATGATTTTGATGATGTTGATGTTGATTTTGATTTTTTTGATTTTTGATTTTTTTAAATGGCTTTTGCTTTTCTTGCTTCATTGCTTCGTCGTCTATCATTTCTTGGTGAAAGCATTTCAAGCGTTTCTTTTTTTTCTTTTTTTCTCTTTTCTTTTTTTTCTTTTTCCTTTTATTTTCCTCCCCAGTTAATGTTTTGTTGGTTAAAAAATCCTCCCCTATTTAACAGAATATAACATCACATATCATACCTATCTCATAGCGCAGAGACAGAGAAAGCGAAACAGACAACACGCACGAGCATCGATCCATTATTATTAAATAAATAATGATTTGGAATCAAAACCGCCTGTTTTTAACCCTCGAGTAGGCTGCCGACTGGAAAACGACGCGAACAATCATGACGGTGTTGTCTTTCAAAAAGAAAAAGTGTACGAACAATACTGGATCTGCGAAGTAGTTATACCTAGCTAGGTAATTGGTCTTTTCCCAATCTCATGGCAACCCACAATTAAATTAAATTGGTAACAGAGCCTCGGAAGGTTGGTTGGTTGGTTAGGTGGGATATTGGTTTTCTAGGTTTAAACTAGTATTTATTTTCTCAGGTTGGAGGTGTGTGATATGTCATATTTTTCTTTTTCTTCCCTTTCTCTTCTTTTCTTTGTAGGGTAAGGTACATGCATACACACACACACAGCGTACAGTGTCCCGTCGGAGATATTATTATTTTTGTCCTTGCGTCGGAAATATTATTTTATTTTTGTTTCATTTTTATTATTTTTTGGGAGGGCGGCCTGCATTAGGGTATTCCTGCAGGACGGACGAGCTTTTGACAGGCGGGGGAGGCGTTAACTTAATCAAGCAAGCTAGCTAGCTGACTTTTGAGGAAATCTTCTTTTAATGTTCGTTTCTTTCTTTGACATGATTTCACGAAGTAAAGCAACGTAATGACACATTTCATTTTTAAGCTGGTTAACTACCTACAGGAAACAAATGAGTGGTAGTTAAAGGTATTTGGGCCGAACGGCTTTCTTTAAGAAGTTTATATAACTCTGTAAAACTATCCCTAACGGATAGTTACCGGAGCCGTCCACAGCTAGGTAAATAGGGTGGGTGCCACTGGAGCGGATGTCCGACCTATCTCTATCTGACGATGACGATGATGTTGTTGGCATATAGCTAGCTGGATATGGGATGTTACCAGGGCGGGCCCACCGCTCATACTACATGCTGTCATGCCTTGGATCGAGATCGTATAGTATGTACATTATATTGGCGGGAAGTGCAACTGGTAACACGTACAAGTAACCTGCTTTTCATTGGTTTTGGTCCTACCATATAGGAAGTGCGAATCGAGATTAATACATATTTTCTGTACCCTGGAGCTTGGGCTTGGTAGAGAGAACAGGAGGGATAGTTATCAGCTTGAAAGACGGCCCTTGCTATGGACATTGCTTGATGGATCGCAAGACTATATATCTAGTCATTTCAACTTCTTTTGAACGGATATTTTTCTCCTGTTGGTGGAAAACCGCCCTCTATACGTGCTTGATGTCATGCGAAGTTACCTCAAAGAAACGAGACATGCGTACTCACTCAATAAAAGGTGCGTTGTGAGGTGGGGGAGTAGATACAGCCAAAGGGTGCCGTGCCCTTTCTCCTGTCGCATATTTTTGACCGCTGATCATATATTTATTAGATGCCTGGATACTGGGCACACCACCTAGGCTAGGTCCTACCAGTAACCATCTTGCGCGGAGTGATCGTCAATAGATTGTCCTCTTTATCCCCTGATATACATACACCGTTGCATTGGACACTGCGATCGAGGATTCGGCATTCAAGTCTCTGGGGCTGTAAAGCATCGTAAGTTGTCGCAACCCTGGTGGTAGAAGGGAGGATCTACAAAATAGATCTATTCCCGTAGCGAGTGCTGTTTAATAATAGCGCTTAATCAAGGCACCCAGAACCCCGTCCAACCAACAACGTTCTTCGCAGCGCTAATGGATAGAGAATCCCTCACGCTGCCGTTGAGACGATCCATCCACATGTATTTCGTCCACATGAAGCCAGCTAGAAGAGTGTATAAATGAACTTAGAATGGAAATAACGGCTCGTCCTGGCGATACATACATACTGGTATTATTGTATGTATCGTATGAACAATACGAGAGATCATGCAGCCCGCCCCGCGTCTAGCGCCAATATTGATCAACCTCCTTCCCGGGGTTGCTCCGAGCTGTGTGGGCTCGAGAGCCTCTACCCGCGCCGACCGGCATTTAACGCCAAAGTTAACCAATAAAACTAACACACTAACACAGCTTTCTTGGAGGTGCAAAGACTGGTTCTGGCGGCGAATCGAACGCTTTTCTTTGTGCACACGCCTTGATACTTTTGGCCATTTGTACCACGCGAGACTGGGGTTTAATCTTTTTTGGTCTGGGCTTAAAATGGCAACTATTCGGCACTTAAGCATGTAGCTGTAATCCAGCATGCAATTATCGCAGTCCCCAACAGAAATGAATTCTTTGCAAGAAAATTTGATATGTCGCATAACGATCTAGCCAGCGCGCAGAGCGTCCCGCCAGGCAGACGCGCAATGCAAGTTGCCGCGCTCTGTATCAGTGCCCTCGACGGATCTCCTACCTCCAGGGATATGTGGCATGGTTGTTACTGAGTCTGTTGACGGTGACTTTGATTCCCGTATGCCGTGATGAGTCAACGTGTTTCTCGTTTATCCGCCCTTGTTGCTTTTTGGGGGCTAACTCTTCCTCCTTCCGATGCTAATTTTGGACCTGTAGGGAAAAAGCCGTTGAGACGAATAATAATAATAATAAGAATAAGAATGTGAGGAAGCACGTAATTTTTTGCGGCTGGGACAAGCGTTCTAGCATGAGCGCGAACGAGCGCGAAGAAGATGGCTGGGCCAATCAGCCGCCGCGAACGAAGTGCCCGGAGTTGATCCATCTCGACTTGGCAATAGATTCTGATGGGCCAGGGATGTTTTTTCGCATTCTGAGCCTCTATGGCCCGAATCATTGGAGGGAAGAAGAGAAGGCGAAAATATCCCGCAAAACTAATGCATGGATCCAAATGGTGCACGTATCGGATCAACGGATTGTGGATATGTTACTCTACTCCCGCAGCCGCAGCGATAACCTTGATTTTAGGGGCATTGGCAAATTTGGAGTAGACGGGAGAGAAAATATTAGATTCGTGCGAGGGTTTGGACAGAAATTCCAGATGACGTCCACTAGGAGTGTACCCGCGCCTTGCTGCACGAAATCAGGGGCTGAACCTCTCGATCATGTGATTTGAGGGAAGGAGTGAGGTCAGACTGCTGTCTTTTATGATGCCTGGACTTTCCCAATTTTGATTTTCATTTATTTCTCTTTCTGCTCGGCAAGAGTTGCGAAAGTTGCGAAATCCTTCTACGCAGTAACTAACTACTATCTCGGAAATATGTCAGCAGGTTCACAGAACACAAAGGATGAAGCGCCCCCCCCTCCATGGCCAAAGCAGCATGAGCTCAGTTGCTCATTGCTTTCAGGTCATAGGCTCTTTGGGAAGCGGCTACAATTCAATACATCATCCACCAAGAAAGATATGATCAATTCAGTGTGTTACTATCCCGGGTATCAGTTCTTCCCTAGAACCCTTGATCTCCGCGCAATTTTGTTCGTCAAGCGTGCGTGCTGAAGATGTTTATTTGTCACAATCCTTCAATGGAAGCGAGCTAGTTATGGGAAATGCGAAAGTCGAGTCAAGCTCACAAGCACAAACGCCCTATTCATTTTTCTTTCATCTTTCCACTCTTTTTTCAAAGGATGAGATTGTTGACTTCCATGAGTCCGTCGTTGGCTTTCATTGGTTTTCGGCATTGCGCTTGGATAGAAATCCTCAGCTCCGCTAAAGTTCTCTACTTTGCGGGATGGTTGGACTCCTCAAGAGGGCGTTCGAGACCACCTTACCCAATTTCAACTCTTCACGGGTAACTAACAAATTTTCCTTCTTTATGAACCTAGTGGCTATTGGCCACATAGTTGTTCTACCCTGATGTGGGAGGATTACCTGGCAGCGAGAAGCATCATGAATGCTTTGACGAATACTCTACGAGCTCCACAACAATTTTGATGCAGCGCCTGAAGCAACCACATTACACCTCCGAGGAGTACTGAAGAAGTGCGCGTCTCGCGCCTAATATAGAGAATTTCGAGTGTGGAAAGTCTACATTCAGCCAGCCCTTGACCCTCCAACCTTGCCAAACGAAGTGAGATATTTCTGTCCTTGATCAGTGGCTGGCTTCATTGGGTATCTTTGCAGAGGAGGAGGAGGACAGGAGTTTAGCCAGAACTACTGGATTGAACCATTCACCGGGTTGAGAAGCATGCCCCTTCCTTCGTCCTCCCATGCTATGTCGTGTTCAAGCTCATGAAGGCTGGCTGAGAAATTGCCAGGGTTGGACACCTTGTGTGATGACAAATCTATCATGATGAAGCGCACTATACGTGCGTGAAAACCCGAGGCGCCTGATGGCTGTGTCTATAAGTTTGGGTAGGTCTCCGCTCATATCTTGCGCAACTGCCAGACATGTGGTCGTGCTTGAACAAATTTCTATTCAACAGGCAACAATTGCAACTCATTCCTTAACTCATTTCTTAACTATACTAAATAATCCCCATCCGTGGCGGTTGTCCAGATTTCTACCAACGGCAATGAGTGCTATCAGCTACCCAGCAATAGCGCAGTCCAGCGATACATTGGGCGGCCAGTATATTACTGGAAGACGCTTGATGACAACGCCAAAAATGCCCAAATAGTGGCAAATGACCACGGTGTCTACCTGCGGCGATCGACCAGCATGGTTATGTACACTCTCGCGAGGGTGGCTCATGGAGTCTAATCAACCAGGGCGCAGCCAAGATCTGGGCTTCTGGCTCAAACCATTTTTACAAGTGGAACTTGGCAGCCCATTGACAAAAGTCCCCGGTTCAAGGACCTTGCCGTAGACGGCGATGCTTATACCAACTTCACATGGATGGTACTGCTTGGAGGTATAATAGCACCTGGCACCACCTTGATGCTAATGGTCACCTTTCCGAAATTGCTGCAGGCGGAGGACATCTCTATATGCGCCATAACAATGACCAAGTTTTCCAGTACCATGGTACCATTCATTGGACCAGAATTTGCGACATGGATTCGCACGCCATCCAGATTGCAGCAGGCATGGAAGGAGTCTTCAAGCATTGCCAAAATGGTGGGATATATAAACATGTCAGTGGAACCTCATGGAAGAAAGTTAGCGGAGAGATTGCCAACTTCGAAATCGCGGTAGAAAAATACCTGCACCGAGCGAAGACTGAAAATACCATCAGCCGTTTAGACTTCAATGGCACACCCTGGCAAATCATCCGACCACCGACAGGATGGCACACTGAGAAGGTTCAACCTGCGGAACAGTATAAAAGTGGTTACGCAGAAGCCCAGCGCATTTGGCTCAAAATAGGAAATGGTGCCCCGGTCAAAGTCACTTAATAAAGGGTACGTATGGTTTATTGTCCGTGGCCTTTGTCGGTGTTTCTTGCCCCTTCTGGTCCTTCACGTCTTTCTTGCGAATAGTGACCTTTGTAACAGCGCTTGCAGACGCCTTCACCCAGTTCAAGGTTTCCCAGGGGAAATCGCCTTTTAAAGTAGCTTGGTGCAAGAGCGATATGACGGAGTCGATCAATTATATGAAAAATGGTACCGTCGATGCGTGTATCACCTATCACGCGGCCGCAGAACAGTTAGCCATTGACCAAAACTTTGCTGGAAATCCCAGCTACTATGCCTTCCGGGAGCGCTTCCTACTAGTCGGCCCACCATCGAACCGGGCAAAACTCGACAGCAGTGATAGCGTGGAGGAAATGTTTCAATCAATTTACTCTGTAGCTGAGTCTGGCAAGAATGTAAAGTCCCTGAGCCGGTAAATCCGCCCCCAATATCAAGGAGTCGGAGTTGTGGATTAAAATTGGCGAGGTAAAGTCCCCGCCGGCGAGCCCTCTAACGATTGGAGGTCATAGACACATACATACTGACTGTCGACTATGAAAGGCTCCATGGGCTCAAACAAAGTCTCCATGGTACCACGAGAACGCAGAGTATCCAATCCAAGCGCTGACGACTGCGGTAAGGTTGGGAGAGTACACCCTTACAGACTGGGGAGCTTCTCTCTCGGTCCCTCACGAGGTCCAAAACAACCTCACCATCTATAAAAAGGGACCAGACAGGGAAGATGATCCGCTCCTTATGCCTGCTCATCTCCTAGTGAGCGATGAGCCTCCGCTTGCAAAGTATTTCGCGCATTGGCTGGTTAGTAAAGAAGGTCAGGCAGTCGTCGCTGGCTTCATGAAGGATGGAAAGCATGTTTACCCCGGTGCGCCGTGAAACCAACTGCACAATGTGAGTTCCTGGCTTTGTGTAATCAAGACCTGCTAAAGGACTTTCTCAAGGTTGTAGCTTAGGTTGCCCTACATAGCTATCGACTATAATACATGCGGATTAGTGCGTTTGACTTTAGGCGCGAAGTAAATTCGATTGTTATCACTTGGTTCCTTTCATTTTGATGGCCACTTCGAAAGGCTAATTCTCCTCTTTGTTTGCTTCATTCTTTCTTCTTATTCCTTTGGCCGCTTCATGTGATATCTTCCTATTGCTGACTACATCGGTGGGTACTGGCTATCGAATTGGTTATATCCGACTATCGAAAAATGAAAAGAAGCAAACCCCGAAAAAGACAAAAGGCAGGAGGTCCCAGACTAGAAATGTGGCACTCAAATTGATTATTGAAGGGGTAGCAAGTAATTCCCTGATCCATGATTCATGAGAAGCATGGAAGGCCAAAAACTATTCAAATGCGTTCATTATCATTTCACTATTTTCCATGCAAACAATATTGAAGAATCATTCTTCTTAGCACGGAGAATATAAGATTCCGTATTGGGGGATGATATGTCAGACATCTGAGAGAAAGATCAAGGCCGGAGCGCGATTGAAGATAAAATTCTTCTGGATGGAATTTGGAATGGACGAATACTTTGCCCCTTCCCACTTCCACCCCTTTGCCGCCGCTCGTGGGTTCGTTCACAATGAGACGTAAACCACACGGGTGATGCTCTGACTTTCCAATCTTCAATTGATCTAACCATCCGCAGACAACAACGATTCGACGTATATGATAAATAAAAAAAACCCTGCCATTAGTCTCGGACACGATGCGAGTTCATCCGCCAATTACCATGGCAGGTCGGGGGCAGCTCTTCATCCTGCAAGAGCCGTTTCAGGATATCGGGTTTTTGAAAACCCTTTTTATATATATTTTTGACTTCTAGAGCCTTTTGCTCTCAGATGCCGAAGAAAGGTTAATCCTCTGCCTCATGATCGCCATTATCGTTGCTTCCGGAGACTTAGCGGCCGCAGCTTAAAGCTGTTCAGATACTCATAAATGAGTTTTTTTTTTGTGCGTTGTTCCGCGCTTGTCCTGAGACGAACATCCATGAATGAGGATAATACGGGAAACGCGCGAGGATGACAAGTTATGTTACAATGCATGACAGCGCAAGGGAGAGATGCACCAAGGGCAAATGACCGCGTATAGCGCTGTACGTTCGCTCGGGCTTGCTTTGTTTCCCTCGTATGTATGGTAATATATGTAATATATGTACAGTACTTTACTCGGTCCTTACACTCTCGTTTTGATTGAACTGCAAGCCATTGATCCCACCCCGGCTTGGGCTGCTGCAAGTCAGCATCTGTGATGGTCGAATAATTATTAGTGCTGGCATTGAGCTTGGCCGCTGATTGTGGGGTGGGGGGTGGTGAGGACCAGACCTGAATCTTCCCTTCCTGCGGGGTGGGGCGATGAACTTTCGACGGATTCTCAGCTATCGAATTTTAGAGAGCCCCGCAAAGAGATGAACCATCTCTCAAGTCGATCGACCATCGCATGCTGGCTAGCCAATAAGGCAATGATCCTCTTGCCTCTCTCGATCATGATATTTGAGCATCATTCTCCAACGTTCGTGATTTGTTTAGGAGGGGATGGCCGCCGTAGAGAGGGATGGACGATCTGCAACACTGTTTGAAAAATCCCTGGTTTGAATTGATGACCAGAAGAATCCTGCCTGCAATGGCCGATAGATAGGGTGATGAAAGAAAACTACTGCGTAAATCCTAGGAAGTTCAGAATCAGGCTATCGAACCGAATGCCTCAAGGATACGTGGCCGTGTTCCTGGTATTTTCTCCTGGTTTCTACACCAGGGAGCTCCGGGGCAATGATCCTGCGATCGTCCGGGGAATGAGCGGAATCGTGCTCTGGCGTCTTGCGTGTTTACCACTAGATGGTTGCAATGTATGCACCAAAGGGCATCACACCGGGGTTAGCCGCATATCCATCTCCAGTCTACCTGGCTATTGAATTGTAATCCGTCTTTTCTGTGTGCGATTCCAACATAATGATG